TTTTTGGGGTCTTGATTTAGATGTAACTTCCTCCAGGAAGACTTTCCTGCCTCCTGAAGGTAGTGGACACCCCTCCCATGTATCTTCATAGCACTCCATACATTCCAGTTCACAGTACTTGTCACCATTTATGACAATGACCATTTAGATGCTTACTATTTGCCATATATTCTCTATTAAATTTTTTTAAAAATCTCTTGAAGTTACCCATAATAGTTCCATTTAGTATTATTACTATCATCACTTTTTATCTTTGTTTATTATGATAAAATAATATAACATAAAATTTGCCATTTTAACCATTTTTAATTGTACAATTCAGTGGCCTTGATTACCGCCACAATGTTGTGCAAATATCACCACTGTTTCTAAACTTTTTTCATCACTTCAAACAGAAACTCTATACCCATTAAATAATAACTCCCCATTCTTCCCTTCCCCGACTCAGTCTCTGGTAACCTCTAATCTGCTTTCTGTCTCTGTGAATTTTCCTATTCTAGATATTTCACGTAAGTGGAATCACATCATATTTGTCCTTTTGTGTCTCAATTATTTTACTTAGCATAATGTTTTCAAGATTTATCCATGCTGTAATATGTATCAAAATTTCATTTCTTTTCACAGCTGAATAATATTCTCCTGTAGGTATGTACCACATTTTGTTTATCCATTTATCTGCTGATGAACACTTGGGTTGTTTCCACCTTTTGGCTACTGTGAATAATGAGGCAATGAACATTGGTTTAGAAGTGTCCGAGTCACTGTTTTCAATTCTTCTGGGTTGTCACACCCTACTGGACCAGTAGCAGGAGTGGCTCTGAGGGGCATAGGTTGGATTTTGAAAAAATAGACAGTAAAAGCCATGTTGATTAGACAAGCCTTTATTAGGGAACTCACATACAGAGGTCGACACCAATGTTCTCACCAGGGACAGCGAAGTGTCGAGTGTCACCAGGTAGAGGTCCACACACAATAGTGAGGGGTGGGTGTTTATATACCTAGTGCTTATGTGCAAGGATACATGCAGGGAAGCCAGGAAAAAACATGTCTAATCTATAATGGATGGGATTGTTTTCATACTAGTTAATAGGTTCCAATTGACATTACCATGAAATTCAGGTGTTTGGTGTATTTTTTCCTGTTCCAGGCCACTGCTCAGTAAGGTATTCTTATCTCTCCCAGAGTCCTTTATGGGTAGGATCTATCTTGTATTGCTCAGGGCCCTCTTATGAGTGTATACCTAGGAGTGGAATTGCTGGGTCATATGGTAATTCTATGTTTAACTTTCTGAAGAATCACTAGACTGTTTTCCATAGTGGCTACACCCTCTTACATTGCCACTAGCAAAGCACAAATATTCGATTTTATCCACATCTTTGCTAACACTTATTTTCCTTTTTTAATTATAGCCAGTCTAGTGGGTGTGAAGTGACAGCTCACACCTAGTAGATATGAAGTGGTATTGCATTTTCCTAATGACTAATGATGTTGAGCATCTTATCAAGTGCTTATTGGCCACTGGTCTATCTTCTTTGGAGAAATGTGTATTTAAGTCCTTTACTCATTTTTTAATTGGGTTGTTGAATTATAGGAGTTCATTATATTCTGGAAATTACACCCTTATCATACATGTATGATTTGCAAATACTTTCTCCTAGTCTGTAGGTTGTCTTTTCCCTTTCTTAATAATGTCCTTTGATGCATGTTATGGATTGAATTGTGTCCCTCCAAAAGGTGTATCAATTTGGCTAGGCCATGATTCCCAGTATTTGTGTCATTGTCCACCATTTTGTCATCTGATGTTATTTTCCTATGTGTTGTATAAATCCTACCTTTTTGATGTTAATGAGGTGGGATTAGTGGCAATTGTGTTAATGAGGCTTGACTCAATCTACAAGATTAGGCTGTGTCTTAAATCTATCTCCTTTGAGATATAAAGAGAGAAGTGAGCAGAGAGACATGGGGATCTCATACCACTAAGAAACAAGAACCAGGAGAATAGCGTGTCCTTTGGACCCAGGGTCCCTTTGCTGAGAAGCTCCTTCACTGGAGAAGACCAATGGCAAGCAGCTTTCCCCAAAGCTGACAGAGAGTGAGAGCCTTCCCCTGGAGCTGGCACCCTGAATTTGGACTTCTAGCCTCCTAGACTGTGAGAGAATAAACTTCTCTTTATTAATGCCATCCACTTGTGGTATTTCTGTTATAGCAGCACTAGATGACTAAGACAGTGCACAAGTTTTTAATTTTGATGAAGTCTGATTTTTTTTCTTTTTTAGCTTTGCTTTCATCATCATTTTTTACATATAAAGGAACTGAGGCTCAAGAGAAGTTAGATAATGTGCTCAAGATCACATAGTTTGTAGATAGTGACATGAGGGTTTGAGGATAGATATAAACAACTTCAAAGCTTGTGCTCTTACCCACTGTACCTTTTCTTTTCTTTAGATTGTAATCACGTGTCTGTATCTTCCAGTATGTTTAAACTTCAAAACTAGATCATGTCTATCTCTTGCATCACTGTATTACCATATCTGATAGTGCCTGGTACATAACAGGTTCTCAGAGTATTTGTTGAATGAATATGACTGAATGGGAGTGAATGAAGTTACTTGTAGGCCCAGTCAACCTTCTAATAGAAGTGGGTGCAGGGTAACATAGCATTAATGTTATTAAAAAAAAAAAAAAGTCCTGTACAAACAAAAGATCCTGTACAAAAGAGAATAACTGGTAGATCATATATGCACCATACCTAATTCTAGTGTTGCAAATTCCAAATCTACAGCTATGCAGTTCTTAGTTCATCCATTGTCCTAAACTGTTGAGGAACTGTGTGGAATCACTGCTTGGGGTCAAAGTGGCCACAACATTGCAATCTAGACTTTCTCCCTGCTCACAAACCTTTTTCAGAGCTCTGTTCTACGTAGGCAATACATGTCCTGAGAATCCAGCACAGTTGCGTTTGTTTCAGAATACTTATGTTGTTGTTAGGTGCTGTAGAGTCGGTTCTAGCTCATAGCAACCCTACGTACAACAGAACGAAACGCTGCCAGGTCCTGCATCATCCTCACAATTGTTATGCTTAAGCCCATTGCTGCAGCCACTGTGTCAATCCATCTCGTTCACAGTCTTCTTTTTTTGCTGACCCTCTACTTTACCAAGCATGATGTCCTTCTCCAGGGAGTAATCCCTCCTGATAAGGTGTCCAAAGTCTTGCCATTCTTGCTTTTAAGGAGCATTCTGGCTGTACTTCTTCCAAGACAGATTTGTTCGTTCTTGGGCAGTCCATGGTGTATTCAATATTCTTTCACCAACACTATAATTCAAAGGCGTCAATTCTTCTTCGGTCTTCTTTATTCACTGTCCAGCTTTCACATGCACATGAAGCAGTTGAAAACACCACGGCTTGGTTCAGGCGCACCTTAGTCCTCCAGGTGACATCTTTGCTTTTCAACACTTTAAAGAGGTCTTTTGCAGCAGATTTGCCCAATGCAATGCGTTAATGTTTTGACTGCCGCTTCCATGGGTGTTGACTGTGGATCCAAGTAAAATGAAATCCTTTACATAATACTTATCGATAACCCCAATGCAGCGAGTGACACTATGTTACCTTGGATGGCCTATCCACCTCTAGTTCTCTATGCCTTAAAACCCAGAGGCAGACACATAAAACGCTCTCCTTGCCCGCGAATATGCTTAGTCAGCACTATCACTAGCAGGCTGCGTGGGCAAGCCAAAGAAGTCCCTAGCACGTAAAACCTCCCGACTGTTTCTGCAAACAACCTAGGATCCCTATCACAGAACAAAACAAGACAAACATACAGACAACTCCAAACCAGAATTACCAATGACCCCTGTCCCGTCCTAGGTGAAAAGACAGGGGTGGTTTAAAGCAGGCCGATTGTTTTTAAAATGCTTTCAACTATATGCAAAGCTATCTGCAAAACTGTTCTTTGCCCACGTGGATCGCGCAGACGCCGAATTACTAACAGGCTGAGAAACGTGCAGCCGCCGAGATTTGTCGCCCCACCGAGAACAAACTGGCACTTCTAGAGATAAAGATCCGCAGCCAATGCAGCGGCTCGGCCTGCAGGATTGGCGGCCTCGGTCTTGACGTGGCCTGGGCAGGCCGGGCGGTTTGCGACAGTGGCCGCGGGTCCGGGGGGGAAAAGGGGTTGGGAAGCCGCAGGGCAGGGCCCGGCCCGCGCGCCCGCTCTTCGCCAGCGCCGGAAGTCTCTTCCTGTCCCACGCATCTCGCCGGCGCCCCCGAGCCTCGGCACCCGATTTCGGCGGGGTGTGGACCGGGGCCCGGGGCCCGGGGCCCCAGCGCGGCCAGGACTCCTCGGCGTGCGGGCGGCCGGGGATGCCGAGGTTTGGCCTGCGGGCGCGGAGCGTTTGCCGGGAGGGCGGCCCATCTGTGCAGAGCAAAGCCGGGATTCTCTCTCGCTCACTCTGCCCAGGCCGCGGCTCCTGCCCAGCTCCGGGAAGAGCTGCAGAGAGCTCGGCTGGCTCTTCGGTAGATGCAACAAATGCGAGGGGATCCAAGTTGTCTGGCGCTGCCACTGCCGCGACCCGAACCCGCAGCGCTGCGGAAGGGGCCTGCGGCGCATCCAGCTCCACTCCGGCAACTTCGCTTCTCCTGCCACTCGGGAATTGAGGGGGTGGGAAGGTGGCGAGGCCTTGGAGAGTGGCTTGTAATCAGTTCGTCCATTAAACTTTTTTTCTGAGCATGAAGGTATACGTGCTCACTGTAGAAAATCTGGAAATTATTGTGTAAAGGAATTGGGGGAGGGGGTGTTGAGGGGATCATGTGTTGCCCCGGGGGCGGTGGGTAACTGATTTGCTTTGCAAGATGCTGCCGCGGGGCGAACAGAGCGCCGAGATTTAGGGAAGTGGGAGAAGTCCGGGCGGGGGCGCCCGGTCAAGAGTCGGCCACGCGGTGTTTCCTTCCTTTCACTTCCTGCGGCAGCTGCTCAAGATGAGGAGGAGAGCGGGGCTTGGGCGGAGCAGCCTCGTCCCCCGGGCCTGAGCGCCCACCTGCCGCCGCCAGCGGACTTCCCCGACGTGACCTGGGGATTCCGGGTATGAGTGCTCCGTAAATAAGCGTTTGGAATCGTGGACCTGAGACCTCGGGAGGTAATGCTGGCCCAGTTTTGAGTTGCTTGGAGAGAGTGAAGAAACTAAAAAATGGAGGACTTTTCTACCAGGACTTACGGCACCAGTGGCCTGGACAACAGACCTTTGTTCGGAGAGACGTCAGCCAAGGTGAGTGGGACCGTGGCTCCAGGCGTGAGCGTGTGTCTGTTTGCCTGCCTTTCTCCCCTCCTCCCACCCAGAGCCCTGGCTGGGCCCTTCTGCGGCCGCTGCGGGGACTTGTAAGAAGAAAGAGCTGGTTCTTCAACCCTACTTTCCTTCCCAGGGTGTTTGCCCTGCCACTCCTCTCCTTCTGTGGGACAAGAGCCTTGAAGGCTGAGTGGAGAAAAGTTCAGAAAGTTCTGGGCTGTTGGAGGCCTTTCAAGGGGAGTGCTGAAGCCCCTTTCAGGAGGGGAAGTTGATGGGATACTTGCACAATCACATCTTCAGCTGGAAAGCAGACCTTCTAAAGGGCCCTGGAGCCCTGCTTCAGGTGTGCGCCTAAGGCTTCTGTGAGAAAGGGCCGAAGAGAGGTGCTTCAGATTTGTTTACATGGAGCTGTGTTTTCTGCTGAGGCAGTGAAGCAACTAAGGAAGGAAGAAGGGAAGGTGTGAGATGAGGGTTACTTTGATGATGGAGCTCTATTCCAGGAAGTGGTTAAAGGATCTCTGGGTCCAAACAAGTTAATAGTACATTATACTAGGATTAATTTCTTTCTTTTTTTTTTTTTTTCCAATACTAGGCTTTTAAAGGTATAAAAGCTCTTTAGAAAGCTTAAATATGTGATGCCCTGGGCCAGCAAGTGAAGAGAGCTACTTCCTGCCCTAAGCATTAAATTTCTGAGTGGTTTGGTCAAGTTTAGCCTTTTTTTCTACCTGGAAAGTGGCATTGATGATCTTTGTCACCTGACAGAGTGCTTTCAGTCTTTCAAAAAGTAGGGCATATAAGAGTCCAGAACTTCTTGGATTTCTCAGCTTTGGCAGGAACCTTCCAGCAGAAAAGACAAGGCCCTTGTACACCTGGCAGCCTGGGACATAGCCCTGAATTTGGAAACTGCCAGCCTGCCACAAGATTTCTATTTTATTCTGAAAATTCCGTGTGGATTTTGCTTTCACTTCTCTAAGTGTTTGGATAAGAAAATGTTTTAAGCTGGATCTCCAGGAAGATGCACCTTGTTTACCTTGTGGCTTTGTATAACCCCAGCCCACAGTGCGCCTGGCTTGAAAATCATGACTCTAGTCGGTAGATGTTCCTATTTGTGCAAACATTATTGAGCATAATATGCTAGGCCCTGGGGGTCCAAGGACCCAGTTAGGTGGGGGAAATATGTGAGCAGATGTGATGCAGTGGTATCAGTACTATGACGGTTCATGTTGGGGTACAGAGGAGAGACTGGTCACTTTTACTCAAGTTGCTTGGGGAAGAGCTCAAAGAGTGGCTTCTCCATCCAGTCTCTGATAGCTTTGGGCTTTCTGATATGAGTGCCCTTAACATTCATATGTAAAGGTTCAACTAGAAGGAGAATTGGGGCCTGGGTGGTGGAGGCAGCGTGCTGCTTGGAGGGATTGGGCCCACGGCATTTGGCTGCCCAGCTGTCCTAAGAGCTCACATGTTCATTCTCCCCCCACACTCATTGGCACACAGATCAGGTTCTAGGTGATCCAGATTGCTGGCCTCCTTTAACTCCATAGCCCCTGTAATACAGAGGTAGATGACTTGATAATGGACTTGTAGATTTATGTAGACACTTAGAAACACTGATGTTTTCCGAAAAACTTAGACCAAAATGCCCAATGATTTTCTTATTGATTATGATCCATTTGAAACACATCCAAGAACTTTAGTGTTCTCCAAATGTATCTGTTTATTGCATTCTTGTTTAGTCCAAGGGTACATAGCCCCAGCGTTACTTAGGTAACTTTAGGACATTATAATAGTAGATTTCAGCTACTCAGAGAAAAAAGTGAAGAATAAAATTCCAGATCTCTCAAAATTGCTCCCTCTAGTTCCCTCTGTGTGACTGACAGGATGATTGGATATAGAGAAACTACACAGAATGGAGAAAGGAGAAGATGCCTGGTCTGAGGGTGGGAGAAAACAACAGTTTTTTGTTTTTTTTTTTTAATAGAAATTGGGGAGCCAAATCTGGAGGGGGAGAGACATCTTAATTTCTAGTGTTTTTTGAGAGCAAGTAAAGCTCTTATATGAGGGCCAGAGGTGGGCAGTACAGGAGTGTTGCCTCAATAATGAAAGGATAGGACACAGTACAGTAGAGGCTGTGGAGCCAATCCCATGGAGGACAGGCTAAAGCAGGGTGGATTCCTGGGGTCCCTTAGAAACCCTTCTCTAGCCCCTGCGTGTGGGTGTTCCCAGTTTGTTCACTTATAATGCCAGGAAACGACACAATAGCCACATGCAGTGGAAACAATATTGGTGAGCTGCCACCTCTGAGGAGAAAATCCAGATGGGGGAGAATCCATTTCCTGTCATAGTGTGACACATTTTCTGACCTTTTAGTAATTTGCTTTGTAACAACTGATAATATATAGCCTTTCAATTTTAGTTCTAGAAAGGACCTAAGCTTTAGGTCTACTCCCTAACTTTAAACCAAAGACAACTGAAGCCCAAAGAGTTACCATGAGTTAGTGGCAGTGAAGAGTCTGGAGGGATGTTTGTGTTTCTTCAGTGCCAGACAACATGCTGGCCATTCAGCTTTCCCTTGTTTGGTCATTGAATTCCTGTATAAGATGGTTATTATTGTTTCTCTTTATTGCTAAGGAAACTGAACCTCAAAAAGGCTTACTTGTTCATAGTCACACAACTAGTTCTCTTCTGGTAATGCTTCACCAAAGTCCCTTTCATGAGTTATATAGCATAGTAAATAGTAACTTAATTATACAGTCTGTGCCACAGTGGTTCTATAAGTAGTCTAGATAGTCACATATTGCACTTTCACAGGAAATAGGAGGTGAAGTAATTTGCCCAAAGTCCTGTCAATGAATGAAAGATCCTGGATTAGTATTGTAGAACAATAAATATGTAACCCAGAGGACCTTGTTGAACAGCATCTTCATGGGTAATCCCTGAAGGAACTTCTTTCTTCACCTGTACTTGATGCACTAGTTGATTTCAGTTATTGAAACTCCTAAATTATTCAGTCTTCAGCATGATATTTAGGAATGAATATACAGATGTAGCCATGGAACAAAAGGCAGAGTGAAACAGTTCTCTGTTGTTACAATAAATACCTAAGGGATAATAGATAAAATGGAAATCTGTTCACCTTTTGTAAGAAATGTATCTCTGATTCCTTGATACCTTTGGGATTATGTATTGCTGGCTTGGCTGTTTTATTAAGAATATAGTTCCTGGTCAGAATGTCCAGGTGCTTTCTTCATGTGTTCTCACCCACTCCCACATTCTGCGATGTAGTACATCTGTTGCAGATGAACAAGTGTGGCACAGATGCCCAGATAATAAGATATAGCTGAGGTTTACCAACTTGCCTGGTAGTTTAACATTCTCTAAAGGAGTGCTATCCAACAGAAATATGTCAGCCACATATATAACTTAAAATTTTCTAATAGCCACATTTAAAAAGTAAAAAGCAGGTGAAATTAATTTTAATAATATATTTTATTTAATCCTGTATATACAAAATATTATCATTTCTATGTGTAATAAAAATTGAGATATTTTTACATTATTTTTTCATACTAAGTCTTTGAAATCCAGTGTGTATTTTACACTTACAGCCCATCTCAATTCGGACTAGCCACGTTTCAAGTGCTCGGTAAGTGTATTTGGCTATTGCTACCAAATTAGCACGGCTGTGAATCATTAGTTAAAGGAGGTTCCATAGTCATGTCTGTGGAACATTTTTCTTTAGGACCTCTCAGAACCTTTAATGTACTAGTTTTCATTGTGACTCTAGTTGGAGAGGGTGGGTAAGTAATGCTTTCTGAACTATTTTGGTAGTGTAGAGTCTTTTCAACACTCGATTCAATGCCTTACCCTCCTCCCGGGAACATTTATGAGACAAGATTCTACAGAACACCCTTTGTAGACTGTTATTCCAGGAATCTTCTTCCTCTGCTTCTCACTCCCGTATCTTCCCTAGTGTGAGTTTGAACACGGAAGGTTTCCTTATCTCCCCTGCCCTTTAAAAGTTTGCTTTAGGACAATACACAGTTTGGGCAGTCTTTGTAACTGTAATGGAGGGACATCAAGAGATCTTTGGGGCTTGTGAGTGAATCTTGGTTTACTAGCTGGCCACAGAATCATCTGAAATCAGTTTCAGCTAATCTAGTTCGGTGAATCTAGGAAGGGAAGGGCAGAACTGTTCTCTCAGTGGGAGAGGCAGGCCAGTATAAGTATGCCATAAAACCCAAAACCCATTGCTGTGGAGTTGATTCTGACTCATAGCAACCGACAGAGTAGAACTGCCCCGAAGGGTTTCCAAGGCTGTAATCTTTATGGAAGCAGACTGCCACATCTTTCTTCCGCGGAGCTGCTGGTGGGTTCAAACCGCCAACCTTTCAGTTAGCAGCCGAGCACTTAACACTGCGCCACCAGGGCCCCTCTCAGTACACCATAGCTAGTATGAATGGGAAGAGGAGGCCACTACACGTGGTGGGTGGAACACAGTGTAACCATTTCTAGATCAGCTTACTCTTAGTTTTCAGTGATCACAAAATAAGTGATTCCTCCGTTAAGAAGAGTGGTGGCAATTATTGTCCCTTTATTTCTTCTTGGATGTGATGTAACAAAAGTGAGTGACTTTGGGGGTAGGTGCATACAGTGAACTCCCAGCAGATAACATGGAGGGGGGAACCTCTGTGTAGGGGGCAAGTTAATGGACCCTAAGGTCCAGGTCTTTGGTTCCAAAGGCAAAAATTCTATATATTAAAGCACTCTTCCTGTATTTCCCCCCTTACCCCCCCTACCCCCAACAAGTAAGCCAGCAAACAAAAATGGTGAAAAACAAGGTCTCTTTAAGGAATTCAAACTTGGAGCACTTAGCCTCTGCAAATGATAGTGTAAGATTACAGTGCTACTTCATGCCCGTTTTGGGGCTTTTGCTGCTTAATTAAGAATCAAGTTATGGTTAAGATTGTTATGTCCGTGCCCGC